CCACGTGACGTAGCAATTCGATCTATCTATTCTAATTTTGAATTTAACCACCAGATAGCGTATTCAACTCACTCCTTTCATTTAAACAATGTCTGTAAATCTTTTTAAACAAAAAAATAGTTAATAATAAACATATGTGTTAGTATAATATTAACTGTACAAATGATATGTCATGTGAAGATTACTAATTATTAATGAAATATAAAGTAGTTTAAGTAATACTGTATTAAAAATAGAATAAAAGAGTTGAAACCGGAATGAATGCACGTCAAGTGGTAATAGGAAAGTATTTGTTTTGTTTTGTTTTGTTTCGTTTCGTTTGTTTTTTTTCCTTTTTCTTTTTTTTTCATAACAACCAAGTTATTTACGAGGCATGCGACAAGCGTATCGGTCTACTGCATTTCAATTTATCTTCTTACTTCTCGTAACTAATACCGATACCGTGAGCTAAAATAAAAGGAACGGTTAACGAACAAGTTCGAAACATTTAACGGCATTTTTCATTTCTTTTCTTTTTTTTCATTTTGTTTTGTTTTGTTTTGTTTTGTTTTGTTTTCCATTACAATTCTAAACTCCTTGTTAGTATTGAATGAAAATCTTTATCCTGTTTTACTAATCGTACTTTATATCGTTGATCTAATACAAAATTGAAGAAATAATTTAAAAAGGGGTTATTTTCTTATTTACAGAACTATTTATTTTTTTTTAATATATATATATATATATAAATTTTAAATAATATTTTATTATAAAAATATAACAAAAGAATTTGTTATTGATGACAAATGAAAATTCAAAAACCCTTTAGCGAATTAAACATGGCTATGAAGAAAAATAAGTGATGTGCTTACCAATACGATTTTTGAGGTTATGTTTATTTAACTGTAAAAGAAAAATTTACAAAATTTTTGTATTTAGAAAGGAAAAAAATATATCAAAAGAATTTGTTATTGATGCCAAATGAAAATTCAAAAACCCTTTAGCGAATTAAACATGGCTATGAAGAAAAATAAGTGATGTGCTTACCAATACGATTTTTAAGGTTATGTTTATCCAACTGTAAAAGAAATATTCACAAAATTTTTGTATTTAGAAAGGAAAAAAATATATCAAAAGAATTTGTAATTGATGACAAATGAAAATTCAAAAACCCTTTAGCGAATTAAACATGGCCGTGAAGAAAAAAAATTGATGTGCTTACCAATACGATTTTTGAGGTTATGTTTATTCAACTGTAAAAGAAAAATTTACAAAAATCTTGTATTTAGAAAGGAAAAAAATATATCAAAAGAATTTGTTATTGATGACAAATGAAAATTCAAAAACCTTATAGCAATTGAAACATGGTCGTGAAGAAAAATAAGTGATGTGCTTACCAATACGATTTTTGAGGTTATGTTTATTCAATTGTGAGCGAAAAATTTACAAAATTCTTCTTTAAAAAGATTTTTCATTATGACAAAAATAACAATAAAACCAGAAATCTAAAATTAGTGTTGTTCAAGTAGAAATTGTTGTCAAATAAGAAACTTTATTTAAAAAAAAAAAAATATTACAAATCAAAATGACGCAATGTCCGTAATTATTATCATAAATCAACGTATACTGAATATACATGTAAATTTTGAAAACGATTGAATAAATATGACTCGAGATATATTGTCGGCAAGTTTGTCAAAAGTATTTTCGAAAAAAAAGGTATGCGGGCTGAAGCGGTATTCGATCTTACCGTATTGTTCCATTTCCTTTTGTAGACATATTTTAAATGAGAAGGACATACTTTTTAAAAAAAAAATAATAAAAATCGAATTGTTTTGTTTTGTTTTTTCTTCAAAATTCTAAATCACCAGACTAATACACCCCTTAAACGTTCCGTGCTAGGCATAAAAGAAAGATAGAAAAAAAAAAAAAGAAATAAAGAGAAAGAGAGACCACAATATATGGCCGCATGAGAATGATAGTCTACGTGTCTCGAAATGGAGATCAAGCTTGGCCCCTTAAACAACTATCGAATGGTAATATCGATACTTTCTTGTGCAATAGAGAGAACTTGAAAAATGATCTGATATCGTGTATCTTATAATCTATTCCATCCATAGAAAACATAATAATAATAATAAAATAAAAATAGAACCAGATCTCGTATATTACAAGGTATCGTGTATTATTACACGATGACAATAAAAAAATAAAAAAAAATAATAAAAACATCATTTGTAGTGAATAACATTTTCACTGGAAGGTTCCGTTAAATATTAATAACGATATGTATATATAACAAATAAATAAGATCAAAAATATATAGACAGGTGATTAATTAAAGGTACACGGATGCGTATTTGAATGAATATTTCATTCCATGGCGTAACCCCGATAGGATGGAAATGGATTTTCCGGGAAATGTGGTGATGCTCATCAGCTGTTTTCTAGAAACGAATTGACCTTACGTGTCTCTCTGTACTTTCGTATCTATCTATCTTTCTTCTTCTTTTATGTTTGCCGTTACGGTATAGGTACGCGTACCTTCTAGCTTACGGTTCCTTTCTCCCTGTGTCGTTGACACTACTCCGACCGATACCGTTCGTTTCTCGATTTCTTTTCCGGAGAATCTTTTTTTATACGTAACTATTCTTCTTTGTGCATGCTCTTACTTATTGTTTAATCCTTGAAAAAGAACTCTCTCTCTCTCTCTCTCTCTCTTGATTTTTAAAGCAACAAGAACAACAATTATTTATACATGTGCGGGTTAGATTTTTTTATATAGCAAATGGAAAACGTGTCGATGACAGATGATTTCCTTGTATTAACATTTATAGACAAAACCCTTTGCGGTGTTAAATAAATTTTTGTTTGTTAAATAAGTTTTGTGCCGGTGTAGAATGAATGGGGCACGTGGTGGTAACCAATAAGGATTAAATTACGCGAACGAGTATTGCGTGTTACAAGTATGCAACCATATACGTAGAATACTTAAATAATACATTCGTTGTCGAGATTTAAGTATTGTCACGGATAATACTTCATTTTTATTATAATTTTGTCTTAATTTATTTTGTCAAATTGATTTATTTTTATTTGTAATATACAAATAATGACACAGAGAGATAGAGGTTTTATTATTTACGGGAAAAGGTTAAGGAATAATATGAATAATTATTTTTGCAATGGATTTAGGTTAAATGTTAGGTTAGGTTTACACTTTATATTATATTAGAAAGCACGATGTGTCAAAAAGTAATTATCTCGAAAAGGTCTTCAAACGCATTTGACTTACCGACAAGAGTTTATAATTATTTTTGCTTTATTCTTGCCTTTCTACTCTCGATAATGAAGCTTCGTAATCTCGTCAGTATTGCGGAAATGAACGACATATATATATATATATATTTATCTATGTAAATGTGTTTGCTATTGCATCAATATTTCTTTTATTTATTTTACAGTTATGCACCGCATATCTTCTTTACAAATTATTATTATATATATATATAATTATTATTCTCACTTTTACAGTTTTTAAAGTAGGGCCCGTTCCCTTAATAAATATTTTAATATTATCTTTATAAATATAAAATTATATTAATAAATAAATATATTAAAATAAAATAATAAATAATTCCTAATTTGAACAATTAATTAATTTAAATCATTTTAAACTTTTACCAACATGGTGGCAATTTGTATATTTCATTTTAAGAAATGGAACCTTACCCCTAGTGACGAAAAATTGAACTAATGTTTGTTTGAACCGACAAAATATAAAAATGAATATATGTTTAATGAATCAAACTATAACATTTACAATAATTATATTTAAAATTTAAGACATTTTACAGAAATATTATTTAATAAATTAAATAAATATAATAATAATAATAATTATTATTGTAATTTTTTTATTATAAGTTTGACCAATCGTACGAGTTTTGATTCGAATATTCGAATTGTGAATTGAAAGTCAAATGTAAATAACGCATAAAATATAAAAAAAAAAAAAGTACAAAATGAACTTTCTAATTTTTCGTGGTCAATAAGTTAGAAGAAGGTTGTATCGTTCAATGGCAAATCCTGGTGAAGATCTTCAAGAAACTTCGATTAAAACTATAGAAAAGAAAATGACAAAGATAGAAAAACTTCATCGTCGTCCTAGAATTTGTTGATATTATAATAAACCGCAATGTTTCTAGTTAAGAACAACTCGAAAGTTGCATTCAACTTCAGGGTTTTCTTTTTGGTATATCTCTCATTGAAATACATCGTAAGGTAAAATATCTTTCTATTGTATTACAATGATACAATAATACATGCAATATATTTACGAATAGGAAAGATTTGTTCAAAAGAAATGATACATTTGTTTCATTTTCTTCAATGATTTCGAATTTTTATCGAATTTTGAATAAAATAAGCTTTTACATTCAGTTTTTTTATATATATATATATATAAAAATTTTAAATATATTTTAATATATTTTCCGAAATTTTTACACACACATAAATACTTTAAATAAATATTTCAATAAAGATTTTTAAATATTAATTATTATATATTATATGTTATTAATAATTATATTTAACAATGTATATGTTTAATTAATTTACATTGGTAAATATTGTAGGGAATAAATCTGACAATAAGAATAAGCTGCAATTTCAAACGAGAAAAAACATAGTCGATAAAATCTAACCTACAAACATTTTATACATATTATATAGGAATATTAAATTATGTTCATAAAATGATCTTATAAAAGTATGCTATTTTTCAAAACAATCTGAAATATCTAATACTACGAGTTATTTCTTGCATTCTCACGTAGTTTCACTGCGTTTTTCTTTTTCTTTTTCTTTTTTCTATTTAACACATATCTGACATCTTCTTTGTGGATTCTTTATGTTTTTTTAACCTCTTTGCAAGTGAAACATGTCTCGAATCACTGACATTTTCTAAATTACGATATAAATTGAAATAATTTATTTAAAAAAAGAAAAGAACCTCGGAAAAAGTACTTTTCCGAAAAGTAGTGAGGTTTTTTCCGAAAAGTAGTGAGGTTATTTCCGAAAAGTTGTGAGGTTTTTTCCAAAAATTAGTGTGATTTTTTTCGAAAAGTAGTGTGGTTTTTTCCGAAAAGTAGTGAGGTTTTTTCCGAAGAGTAGTGAGGTTTTATTCGAAAAGTATTTTAAGTAAAATTTTAATTTAAATGCGAATCCGACTTTACGTTGTATGATTTGAAAATTTGTTTAAAATCTCGTACAAGATTTTTATTGAATAAAAAAGCAATAAAAACAAAATTATGGCATTTTTACAAATTCCTTGTTTTTTTCATTGTTCGCTCTGATTGCAGAACCATCGAGCTTATCGCACTTATGGGTATTTCCTGTACGCTTTTTCTTTTTCTACACACGAGAGAACTTCATTCGCGTCTTAAAAAAATGGAAGTACGTTTGCAGCCGGGTGAAGATGAACTTATATCTGGGAAACAATTGTCATCGGGTAAGTATAGTCTTTTTTATCATTGATTTTAATTCTAATGTTGTAACTGATCATTGGTAAATATTTTTTGAGAATCCAGGGAGGGTTGACAGTATTATTTGAGGGATACAAAACCTAAACATGGGAACTTATTTATCTCAACTATTTTTTCAATTTTTAAATTTAATAAGAAAGGTAGAAAAAAGATAGACTTACTGTAGGGATGCAAATGATAAGCATAGACATCATGTTTTTACATTCACATATTAGATCTAATTGGAAGAAATTAGGGTAGGCCTAAATCCAGGAATGGGTGTTAACAAAATGTTAGTAAAGAATAAGAAAATAATCCCATCAATTCATCAAACCGACTAAAACAAACGTGACCCCTAAATTGTCACTACTTCTTCAGAAATTCATAGGTCAA